AGTCGGGGGCAGCCGTGGTGGGGGGCCCAGAAGTGCAGCAGGGCTGCTGCTCTGTGTCCCGGTCACTGACGCTGCACTGGGGACCTGCAGCCCTGTGGCCCCAGGGCTGAGCACGGTGGCCCCTGCCCCATGCTGTGTCCCCAGCATGTCCCCAGGGATGGCATTCTAGAGGCTTTGGGGAGCTCAGTGCTTGCAATCACAAGGAGTGGAGGTGATGCAATGGGCAGGGAGAGTCAGGGGCTGTGGGGACATCCCCCACCCTTGTGCCCCCCAGCAGCCTGGCAGCACCAGAGCGACTGTTTCCCCCAGAGATACCTTTTTGCCCTGCAACTGCTGGTGGTTTGGGTTTGGGGTGGGAGATGGGGCTGGTGGCTGCCCAGCAGGGTTGGAGGGGGCTGTAAGGTGGTGAAAAGGACCTCTCTGTGTGACACCGAAGGGACCTGTGGGCTGCAAGGGTCTGCAGGCACCCCCTGCACTAAGCACACCACGTAGGCACCAGCTCGTTTTGCTCCATGACCGTGCGGAAATGCAGCCGGCGGCAACACCTCTGGTCTCAGCTGTGCCACCAGGCCCCGGGGACACCGAGCCTGGCGCTGTCCCCACTGCTCCGGGCAGGGGAACAGCTCGTCTGCCCCACGGGGATTGCCCACATCCATCCATGGCGTGTCACAGCTCAGCCCCCCCCTGCCCGCCAGCGCCTTTGTGTCAGGGCATGGGGGGTGTCCCCCGGGGTGTCCCCGGGGCTGCCACTGCCTGTCCCCCGCAGACATCATGGCTGACAAGGAGGGGGTGACGCTGTCGCTGGAGGAGGAGGAGGAGGATGCCGACGTGGCCCTGGCGTACAAGACGCCGGAGAAGAAGAGCCTGCGGGAGATCCAGGAGCTGGACCCAGGGGATGAGAGCCTGCGGAAGTACAAGCAGGCGCTGCTGGGTGCCATCCCTGCCGCCGTGGGTAAGGCTGGGGGCTGCTCCTGGGGCTGTGCACCCTGGCACTCCGGGCCCCCAACACCCCGGAACCCCAACAACCCGGCACCCCGGCTGGGTGATGCAGCTTCGGTGGCTGCAGGGAGCTCGGGAATGCCCAGCACCCGCGCGGCATCCCCAGCAGGGAGGACACATCCCGGCTGGCATCGCCCGTGGGCGCTGCCTGTGCCCCCCACCCGCGCAGAGACCCCGGCATCCCCTGCCGACAGGGTACCGGTGCCCGGGGACCCCGGTTGCCTTGGTTACGGGATCACCGCCGCAGTTTCCATAGGAACGGCTACAGGGAACCGGGAAATTCATGGCGATGACGGAGAGGAACGAGCAGCGGGGGGGCCGGGGTAGCACGGCTGCCGGTGCCCAGACGGTGCCCCCTGCTCCCCATGGCACCCACGGCAGCCCCCCAGCCTGGTGCTGGCCTGGTCTGGGGGTACTCCATGGGCCCACCACCCCGGTGGGCACCCGTGGGTGCATGGGGGGGCTGCAGGCTGGGGGGGAGGTCCGTGCAAACCAGTGGGGTGTGTGAGGGGTGCACGATGGTGTGTGTGCGAGCTGGGGGGTGTGCAGGCTGGTGGGGGGCAGGTTGGGCTGGTGGGATAACTCAGACCAGTCCCCACTCCAAGGGATGCCTTTGCTGCACATGCTGCATCCTCCTCCTTTCCCTCCTTTCCCTCTGTCTCTTCCTGAGACAGGGAATGGTGCACCCAGGGACATACCCGTGTCTGGGTCCTTTAAACATGATTTTACCCCAACAGCACTGATGCCAGTGTTGGGGTGACCTGAGATGCCCTGTTCTCCTGTGCCCTGCCTGGCTGCCCAGCTCTCCTGGTTCTAACACCCCACCAGGGACACTGCAGCCCTTCCTGCTGTTACAGGGGCATGAGCAGCCCCTCAGCTCACTGGGGTGGAGGTTTCAGTGGGCTGGGCATGGTGGGTAAGGCCTGGGCCCCGCTGTTTGTCCCTAGATGCCAGCGTGCCCAACGTGCAGGTGACAAGGCTGACCCTGATGTGTGAGCAGGCGCCAGGGCCCATCACCATGGACCTGACAGGTGAGCTGCGGGGACACCTGTGAGAGGAGGAGGAGGAGGAGGAGGAGGAAGGGGTATCAGGCTCATGGACCATCTCCCCACACAGGAGACCTGGAGGGGCTGCAGGGCAGGGCCTTTGTGCTGAAGGAAGGGGTGGACTACAGGGTGAAGGTGTCCTTCAAGGTGAGCCAGGGGTGTGGTGCCCTGTGCCCGCTGGCTGGGCATAGCCCTGCTGCCCTCACACCCCAGGGTCCCTGCCCCAAGAGGTCCCCTGTGCCATGGGTCCCTGCCCTCACACTCCGGGGTCCCTGCCTGATGAGGTCCTTCATGAGGTCCGTGATCCCCATGGGTCCCTTTTCCCACATGTCCCTGCCCCAAAGGATCCTGGTTATCCAGGGCCCCTGCCTTCCTACCCTGGATTCCCTACCCCAAGGAGTCCCTGCTCCCCATGGGTCCCTTCTCCCACATGTTCCTGCCCCACAGGGTCCCTCCTGCTGCTCATGGGTCCCTGCCTGCCACAGGGTCCCTGCCATTTGGGGTCCCTGCTGCCTTGGGGTGTCTGCTTCCCACCCCTTACCCACAGAGTCTGTGCCCCTCTGAGGGTCTCTACCCACCCTGATGTTCCTGCCCTCCTGGGTCCCTGCCACCCTGGGAATCCTTGCTGTCCCCAGCGTGACTGCCACCTGTGGGTCCTTGCCCCTCTTGAGGGTTCCTGCCAGCCCAGAGTCCCTGCTCCTCCCAGAAGTCCCACCGATTTGGGTCCCTGGAGGTCCCTGCCCCTCCTGAGGGGAGATCCCTGCCCCCTCCAAGTCCCTGCCCCTCTTGGGGGTACCTGCCCCCCCCCGATGCTCCTCAGTGCCCAGTCCTGACAAGGAGCTGGATCCTGGAAGTGGTGAATGTCAGGATGGATGCCCAGGAGTGGTGAGGGCCCCATGTTCTGGGGCAGCACCCGTGGCACCCCTGCTCTCTGCCCGCAGGTGAACAGGGAGATCGTCTGCGGGCTGCGGTGCCTGCACCTC